AGATGAAATTGGAAAAATGGAATTATTTAGTCAAAAATTTCAAGATGAAATAGTAAAATTATTTTTTGGAACTTCAAATAAATCATTTGTAATTGCAACCATACCTCAAGTACATAAAGTACCACCAAGATATTTATCATTATTTCAAAAATTTCATAAAGATGAAAGATGTAAAATTATTACTGTGAATCGTCAAAATCGAAATAACTTACCGGAAGAAATTTTTCCTCTTATTTTTTAAGGCATAATTTCTCTTTTTTAAGAAAAACAATATGAAATTTAAATACATTATAAACATCGTTTATTATTAACAAAAAAACAAAATGTTAGATTAAAGAGATCCTTCCAATCACGTTAAATTTATGAAAAAGTAGTCATCACAAATAACGTGACAAATAGTGACTGGCTGGAAAATTGTACTACATAGTCATGCTAGATCGCATATGTATTAGATATTTTTGTAATAATTATTATTTTATAAAAACCACCATTATTCCTTAAAGAATAAATTAAAAGAATAACAGGTGTGTTCATTACATGTTCAGCACCTTCTGCAAATATTAGAATATAAGTTAATCTGTTGAGATCATTGAGATCATTTATTCAGTTTGTGCGTGAACATTAATATCTTTAGTGAATAAGGTGGTTTAATTGAGGGTACAAAATAGAAACGTTCTCTTTGCGTCATTTCATTAAAATGAAACATAAATTGCTAATGAGGCATTGTTCTTATCATAGACAAGAAAATTTGATACATCTGTTCGCCAGTTGTCAAAACAAGCAAACTTCTTTCATTTTTGTACCCATCAATATTATACCTTCATTGTATTTATTATGATACAGAAGATATTCTTGTTCCTAAAAAGAATACAGTATTTTATTGTTGGAGAAGCCTAAGCTTTTCTCACCTTCTCCATTTCGGTATCAAATATATTACGCACACTTTGATTGGGCTACTCGTATTCAGTTATTGTTATTCATTTATTTATCAACAGTACCTAGGGTGTTCCACTAGCACATGAATTTTAGTAGAGAATTAGCATATGCCATTGGCCTTACATTTGGATGAGGCTGAAAAAAATATACATTCATATAGTGCTATTAGAAATTCAAAAAATTATTAATTAGTTTGTAACATACCACTCCTTCATATGATGTGAAGTGAGGTTCCATATCTTTGCCATTAAGTGTGATAAAGGCACCCCGATTACCCATAGTATCACTATAAATAAAAAATAAGAAATATTTTTATATTAATTAATTTTATAGAATTTAATCAATAATATATGTTTATATACCAATAATTTGGAGCAGAGAACACAGTGATACATTTTCCATCATGGCCAACTTCATATCCATCATTTTTTACTTCATGACTTCTTACAATGTAATCAAGATTGTTTATAGTAAGGAAATTTTGTGTAACATCAGGACCAAATTGAACACCAACTCCTCTTTTACTAGGTGCTCTTCCAGGTTGTGGTTGTGGATCTGACCATAATAATTCACACATTAATCCTTCTTCTGGTGGTTGTCTATTTCTATCAATTTCTCGAATTTCTTTTAATGTAACATCATCTCTTGAAAATAATCCACCATGCATTACCTATGAAATCCATAAACATTATGATTTATATGTACATCACTGATTTATGTGTATATAATTATACATATTTAACTTATGTCTGATTATATATAAACTTACAAGTATTCTATTATTAAGACAATGGGCAAGAGGAAGCCAATTATAAACCTCTGTAAATAATTCGGCCATTTGAGCAGAATATTTTGCTTTGACTTCACCATCAAATCCATACATTTGATTCATTGTGGCAGATTCATGATTACCTAAACATTTATTTTACTATGAATGAATATATGTTAATGATACAAATAGATTGATAAAAACACACCTCTAGACATAAAAAAGTGATTTGGATATAATAATTTAAATCCAAATAAGGTGAATATACATTCTACAGAAAAGGAGCCTCTATCTACAAAATCTCCATTGAATAACTATATAATGATTAAGAAACATATGAATACATATGTATTCTTTTATTTTATTTTATTTTTTTTTCTTTCATTTGTACTAATAATGTACTTATTTAGTAAATTAAAATATTAATTTTTAATAAATTAAAATATAGTAATCTAATCTATATACTATTATAAAGGATACATATGGATTAGTTTCCGATGGTAATCCATTTAATTCAAATATATTAAGTAAATCATAGTACTGTCCATGTATATCTCCACAGATAGTAAATTTACTATCTTCAGGAATTGTAATATCAACTAAGCTTGGTTGTGCCATAAACCATGCTTTTACATCTAAAAGAATTTTATAAGCATATTTACGATGTAATTTATTTTGTTTCTTATACCATTCTAATAGATCTTGCATAAATTGTAATGTAACTTTTTCATCTTCAAGTTTAGGCCCTGTATATTCATCTTCAATAGCTATAAAATAGAATAAGAAATTAAAATTTCTCTTTTAGAAAACTCGTGAAATAATCATAATCAAATAATTATAATATTAAACAATATTATAATATTAATAATATTATACAATAATTAAATATAATAATTTACCCATGGCTTCTAAATTAATCATATCAGCTATATTTTTCTTATTTTCTTCTACAGAAATTGCTTTTTCAAAGGCTAACATTTTTAATGTTTTACAACATTCTGTATATTTAATCATTGCATCTTTATCATTTGGTCTTGCTTTAGTAACAGTTTTATAATCCTTAAGAGCTAATTTGAACTTCCCAAGTGACATATGAGCTGCGGCTCTACGATAATATCCTTTCACATAATTTTTATCTAATTCAATAGCTTTTGATGCATCTGTAAGTGCATATCCAAAAAATTCTGTTTTTAAATAAGCAAAACTTCTATTTCCATAATAAACTGCCACTGTAGGATTTAATTCTATGGCTTTAGTATATAATTCTATAGCTTTGGTGTAGTCTTGATCTGAAAAAAAAAAAAAAAATTAAAAATAAGATGGTTGAAAATAAAAAATATAATCAATGAAATTTTAATTATTTACAATATTTATTATAAATGCATTAAAATTATAATAAAATTTTACTAATTAAATCTTTTTATATTGTCAAAATAAACACTATTTATTTAATACATCAAATAAAAAATATATAAAATTTATCATCATAAATAGATTGTAAAATATTAGATATAAAAATAATTATTTAAAATAAATTATTTAAGATTTATAATAATGATATAATAAACAATATGATTATTTTAAATTATTAATTTTTAATAATAAGATTATATTCGATAATTTAATGATCATTTATGTTACAGAAGTTGGGTTAGTTTTAAATGTACACGTGACTAAATTATGTTATTTTAATAATAATTATGAATTTTTTCTTAATTTGATATTTAAATGTAAATTAAATAACAAAAACAAATTTGTAAGAAAATTTTGTAAACACACTTTTAAAATACTCATTTGCTTCTTCTTTAAATTTTTCCGCTCTGGCTGCATCTTCTGGCGATATTACTCCTGTAATTTCTGCGTTTTCACTCATTTTGCAATTTATATTAATAAACTAACAAGACGATGTAAAATGACTTAAATTATATCGAAACGTAGATAATAAATAACACATTAAAGAAATAATTTTTTTTATATAACGGTCTTTATGCAGACACACTGAATATCGTGAAATCTACTAACTACCCCATAAAACGATTCGATTAATCGAAGTCGAGAAGCAACGAAAAGTATCGATCATTACGATTCAAATAATATAGCCATATGAGTAAATAAGTAGATACATTATAAGATATTATTTGTATCAATTTAATATTACTTGTATACTACATATAGCATACAATATAATATAAGATTAACATAATACCGATTTTATTTGCCTATAATAAATATTCTTGTTATTATAAATTTCTTTCTTTATTATAAAAATAAATTTTGAAATTGATTAAAAGTTTTTTTTGCTTTTTATATATTATAATAAGTAATGTTTATACATAAACTATAATTATAATTTTTAGAAACGGATTCTATTTTGGTATATATAATAAATATAATAACAAAATAGAATTAACAGATTAGAATTAATAAATTCTAAAATTCAATTTTCAAATTCAAAATAGAATTAATAAATTTTTATACAGAAATATTTAAATATATATATATA